GGTGTTCCGCGGAAGAAAAGTCGGTTGTTTATCGATCGAGATGACTATGGGCAGATGGTCTGATGCTAAAATCAGCATAGGTCGCCATGATACGATGTTTATCAGACCAGCGCTGACTATTGCTATGTCTGGCGAGCTGCAGCAGCTGCCCATAATCCTGGTGCGTCGTCGTTCATTCTGCTCAGCCAAGTCTGTTCCCCTACGATTGATTGACAGGCTTGAGTGCCAAAGATCGTGGTGCGCATTAAAGTCACCTACTACCATACGTTTTTCACCTCTGAGGAGCGCACCTATGTCAGGGTGATATCCTGTCGGACAGGAAGTGACAGGGGGTATGTATACATTAAATATTTCGAGCTCAACATCGCCTGACCGGATAGCAATGTCCTGACATTATAGGGTGGTATCCCTGCGGCCGATGTCTGCTTCAATAAGACAATACTGCACGGTGTGGTGCGTGATGAACCCTTAGCCTCCACTATTATCTCGCTCGCGATCTCGACGGTGCACGTTATACCCTGCACAATTAAACAATGTTGAATTGCTGTGCAACTTAGTCTCTTGGACCGCAGATATCAATATACCATGTCTTCCCATGAAGACGGTTATCTCCTCGATCTTACTCTGAAGTCCGTTACAGTTGAATTGAAAGAGCTTCATGTGGTTAGGGAGACGTGTAGTTATGCGCTGTGTGAGGGATGTGTGTGGCCTTGCCCCATTGGCTGTGTGCGCTGTTGTGAAGGTTGTCGCCCTGTGGTGGTAGTGGGTGGTGTCGCAGTTGGGTGCAACACGGGCCCTCGAAGTTCCTCGTCCATTCTCGCGTGGTGCGCAGACCTGAACATGCCCTAAAGTGATGTCACGTTGCGGAATATTCTGGTCTGACATACCGTGCAGATTGTAGGAGGAACTAAGAGCTGTTGGCGGCGGCGTGTGGGTGGTGGTGCGGTTGTGTCTGTTATGTTGTCTGTCGCGGTTGTGGTGTGGTCTATTGTGTTGTTGTGTTGTGGTGCTGTGGTGTCTGTGTTGAGCTGCTCAGGTAGGCTGGGGTTAGCCGTGGAGACTGCTCTGTTTGAACAGCAGGGGGCCACAAAAGATGTGGTCCACTGCCGATGTGTCCGTAGTCCTGGGCAGACTCTGAAGTGGCTCCACCGCTCGCAAGCATTGCACTTGACTGAGGAGGAGTTGTGGTGTAGTCATATCTGGCATACACAGCAGGTGTAGGTTTCTGCCCCTGGGTTTGACTCGATGCCAGCCCTGAGTAGAAGAAAACGTAGCGAATGTAGCCCTATGGATGAACAACTTCTGAGATAATTCGCCGACCTAAGCGGGGTTAGATCGCCGAAACAACAGCCCTTGGTCGGGTAAAACCCCGAGTCATTCCGGTACGTAGAACCGGCTATCGTGGGAATGGGCTGAGCTAGTGATAGTATTTGCTTAAAATTAGTTGAATAATACTTAATATTATTAATTAGTATGGTAGGAGTACACAGTACAATAGTTTTTAGTGTTCTTTTGTCATTTGAATTTCTTTTATGTCGTAATACATTTTGGTCAAATGTTGAATTGTGGTCATAAAAATTCTAAAGTATATTGCGTTTTTGCTAATTTATTGTCAGCTCATCGTGTATTCAGTCACATGTGCTGTGCATCATTTGCGTATCAACCAAAAAAAAAAAAAAACTTACTCGTTAGAACGTTCCTGATGATATGTTAATGTGTATTGCAAACGCAGTCTGTTTATTACGGCTGTGAAATGGGATTATCAGGAATTTATAAAGAAACGCAGCCAAAATGTTTCAATATAGGTAAAAAATTAATTTTGGCGGGACGAAGTTCACCGGGTCTGCTAGTATGTACATATTTATGTTTCTTACAGGCCTATCACAGATTCTGAGTGAACTCTCGCCGTGAAAAAATCTTCTGTCACGAGTTCGGGAGAAACGCTATCAGCTATTCCGACTTAATTCGTAGTTAGTGCTGCCTTTGGTTTTTGTTCCTATTTATGTTTTGGTTTAATAATTCTAAATCAAAATAAAATAACTCGATTTTGCCGGAGAATTTCGTGATAAAGACGGAATTTATGAAAGGCCTGTTGGATCTGTTAAATTTGTTGTTCATAGAACCATGATTAAATTACTATAACACCCCAGTGGGAAAATGTAAGTTATAGTAATTGAAAAAATAATCAGTAAAAGAAACCTTTTCAGATTCGAAAATGCATTTTTTCCCCCAGTGCGATGTTCTAAGAAAAGTGCGGCATTCAATTTTGCTTTAAAAAAGTATCGAGAAATTAATGTGTTTTAATATGAAATTTTTTGAACTCTGAATATATGGGTCGTTCTTAAAAAACATGACCATTCTGAATTTTGTAATTTTTAAAAATTAAGTTGGCCAAATATGTTTATAATTGGCCTCATGTGGTTACGGATGGTATCAACAATAGGAATCCATAACCAGCAGTATTTTTTTTAATTTTTGGAGTTTTTGGAGTTAATAAGTCACAGAGTGGACCGGTAACAGAGGGGACAAATTAACTCAAAAATACCATATTTTAGCTTTTTATTCGAATTTTGGAGAATTTATTTGTCCACTTAATTAATGTACATAAAATATTTATAAAAAAATTATAAAATAAATAAAAAATCACTTTACTCACCGTTTTTCAACAGTAACAGAGTTGACACTGAATAAGGGTACGTACCCGGCATACAATTGTGTTCCTTACTCAACAACGCACTAAACAAGACTGAACAGTTCAAAACACATTTTGTTGATTTTAGCTAAGTTATGATGGAGAAGCATAAGAGAAATATACGCGTCATAACGTTTAACAAACATTTTTCAATAAAATGAGTGGACGTAACAGAGGGGACCAAAACCTGGGGACACAAAATTTCTTCATAAAAATTATACAAAAAAATTATTTTTCATCATTCTTTTCTATATTTCATTTCATTTCATTTCATTTATTAATAAAATCATTAGCACAATAAGATCAAAAGAATGATCTTTTATAGCGCAACAAAAAATTCATAACAGCACATACATATAACTAAAACAGCAAAAATTACTTAAGACTAAATAAAAGTAACATAATATAATTAACAGAGTAGTATTTTTAAGTGAGTTCTACAATTCCAGGACATATACTTAAAATAAGACTTAATTAAACAAGTACATAGAGAGCACATCACAGGGACTGAAGTGAAGCTAACGGAAATATGCATACAGAACATTTTTAGAGTTGCTTTTGTTTAAACTACTGCGAATATGGGATGGAATAGAGTTCCAGATGCGGATAGCATTGACAAAGAATAGCCGTGCAGAGCTGAGATAATTGTAGGTGGGAACAGTCAAGTCCTTTACTCGAGTGGATTTGGGGAACATTAATTTTTCATATAGATATTTGGGTGCCTTATCTGTCATGAGACGAAAAAGGAATACACAATTTCTAGCTTTAAGATATTCAGAAATTTCGCAGCCAAGTAGGCGCGTTCTCCAAGCGGAAATATGTTCATATCTTGCTAGCCCAAACACATAGCGCGTGATCTGGTTAAATACTACATCTATTTTGTGAGCTGATTGGGAATCTAACCTGCTGTAGACTACCTCAGAATAACAGATAATTGGCATTATAAGTTGGATTGCGAGTTTACGTCTGATTTCTATCGGTGTAAATGGAGCAGACATTCGTAAATTCCTTAAAGTATTATAGACTTTGCCTACAGTTGAATTCACATGGTCAATGCAGGTAAGGCCAGTGTTGATAATAAACCCAAGGTTAGTTACTTTTGACACAAATTTAATTGGTTTGCCACCAATGTGTAACGATGGAATAGTTGCTAGGTTAAGACGTTTCTTACAAATAGGTAAAACAAAACACTTGTCACAATTAAGACAAAGACCATTTAACTGTGCCCAGGACCTTATAGACATCAGTTCCCTGTTGAAGCTTGCGCACAAATTAGCTGAGTCCTCCAGAGGACCTGACATGTAGAGCTGGACATCGTCCGCATAGGCATGCATGTTGGCGTGCATAGAAGTCCGAAATATATCATTAACGAACAAACTAAATAGTAGTGGTCCTAAGATTGACCCTTGTGGGACACCCGTGAACAAAGGCCTTTGTTCAGATATTTGAGATCCAACCTTGACACGCTGAGACCTCTCTTTCAGATAGCTACGCATCAGTTTTACTGCTGACTCTCTAAACCCAAAGTAGTTTTTTAATTTAAAGGACAGTAGTTCATGGCTAACTGAATCAAAGGCTTTAGAGAAGTCCAGCAAGCATAGTAGTGTTAAGTGGTTCTTGTCGAACAGTATTCTAATGTCATCAAGTATCTTTACCATTGCAGTAGAGCAGCTGTGATGGGGTCTGAATCCGGATTGAAATGGGGATATAAGGCTGAATTTACCGATGTGGGAAGAGATTTGTTCAGATAACAAAGATTCGAAAACTTTAGACAAGGCTGGTAGTATGCTGATGGGTCGAAAATCACTAGGGCTGGATGCGGATTTATTTTTGGCTACAGGAAGCACAGTAGCAATCTTCCAGGCATCGGGAAAACAGGACGTATATGGTATTAATATACACAAACTGAATAACAAAAATTGTAAATATTATTTTTTTTCAATTTTATTTCAACTGAAAATAACTATTAAATTTTTATAAATTGGCTCGGGACACAGGTTTTTGCTAAACCTTTGACATTGAAAATATTTTTTAAGTTATTTCCAGATAATTAATTATTTTTTTTTTATAATATAGTTACGTAGAATCGATAATAATTTATAAAAATGCAGATATTTTTCTATTTTCTTTTTGAAGAAACAAAATATAAAATAGTAAAGTCTGGGGACACCAATTGGTCATGTTTTTTAAGAACGACCCATATAATGCTGATTACATAGTTAGCAGTAATATTATCGAGAACTCATAAGAAATACATTATATTATTTATCATGTAATGCATTACTGCTTTTCCAACTGAGACACTCACCTCCTCGTGATGAAACGTCCATGTTGAATGACGGTAATCAGGCTAAAGACGTGGAGTTGTAGGATTGTAGTGTAATATCCAAATGTTGCGGAAGTTTATTCTTATGTCGTAATACAGCTTAGGACGCAGTAGTCAACGTCGAAGCAGTCCACTAACCGCTATAATTTAAAAGATGTACTTTTTTCGTATTTTTGAATATGTAAATGTAATAGTAATTAGTATGCCGTGGTTTAGTACGACTTTGCAGCAATGAATCACCAACTCACAAGTTTATCCACTAAAAGAACCAGCGTTGATGTGTTTTATGTTGACCTTTTTACCAACTTTTTTACAATTTTGTCGTTCGTTCACTTAACTTTAAACCTTATTAGCAGCTCGTTGTCATCTCCTTTGTTCTCCACCATTTATTTCAACTTTTTAATTTACAAAATGAAACCAGCAAAGTAGGTATGTATAACTTTCAACAGGGAATCGTCTTCAGAAACCCATGAAGACAGACGCTCAAATTAGGGGAAATGGAAAATAATTAATTCACATCACGGCAGCCGGGTCGCAAAGAACCACATGAAAGGCAAACAACGATTGTTAAAACGCGAGGAACTGACCAAACAAGACCTGTTTATTCTACGTAAAGCGCAACAGAGCAAATAAAAAAATACTCGTACCCACACCCGTACCAGATTGTAAAATACACTGCACTGGCTGATTCTACCAGTTATCACTTTGTACGCTTACTTTGTTTAAATTATCAAATTCTCATTCAATTAATATTGCATTGCATTAAAGAAACAATAATGCACTTTCTTATTTTCTTTATTGACAAAATTGCTCCAGCAAAAATGCACTTTTCCCAATTTTGCTTTGTTATTGATTTTCAAACTATTCACACCTTTTTCACAGTCCTTCAGCCCATGATAAAAACATAGCAAGGTAGAACCGTTCTCTCAATTTGTCGGCCATGATTTTTTTTTGAAGTTTGCCAACATTTTAAAATCATATAAAAGTGAAAATAAAAAATTGAAATTGTTCGAAATTGTTGTTGCTTGAGATTGAAAATGAAAATGTGTGTGTGAGTTTGTGAGTAAATTTAAAAATTAAATTGTTTGGAAACGTCAAGAATTTTAAAAGTGACTCTCAGCGGTTCTACCTTACTATATTTTTATCATGCTTCAGCCTTCAAAAACAATCAGCAACACGTTTCCCTTCTTCCTTGCATTTATATTGCATTTTTTAAACAACACTTTGTTGTTTTTAGCTTTTTCCAGAAATACAGAAAAACTGATCATTTATTTTATGTTCTATTTGGATAGAAAAGTGAAACAAGCCAATTCTTCCGCTACCACTACAACTCGTCTTTTGATGCGTTTGCTAATTTGTCACCAACGCTGGAACTCAGATTGGAAGCCAGCAAAGTTGTCACCTGGAATAGCAGGGATGATCTTTCTTATTGGAAAAGGGTTGTCGTTTCACCATAAGAATGGCTTTGTTTCTTTTCTTTCTAGCAGATAATTATCAGGAAGAAGAATAATGAGAAAATTTAAAGAATTACGCTCCCAGAGAGCGAAATAATGAAAAAGTAAAGAAACGCAAAACTAGCAGAAACTAGTAAGTAATCAGCTGATCGGTGTATTTGACTATTGAAAAAACTGGGCGCGAAATTTTGTTTATCCATTTTGACAGCTGCTATTTTCTGCTAGTAAAAATATAAGATCGGGAGAGAACTGCTGGTTTCTGCTAGTTTTTTGGGTTAAGAAACGGTATCCAGCAGAAATTATTGATAAATTGTGATAATTATCAGTTGAGAAACAAAGCTAATGACTGTATGAAAAAGAATTACACATTTTATTAAACTCACTTCCACACTTTCGACTAAATATGCAGAGAACGTTAAATACGAACACAAATGTATTTAACGTTCTCCGCTCACACGCCCTACTTCAACGAGTTGTCTCATATAGATTTACGTTCTTTAGACTTACAGGAAAACGTACTGAATTATTTTGGTAGTGCAATTTAATGCAACCATGCGGTCGGTTGTTGCCATATCCTGCAACTCTAGCAGATTATTCCAGTGCTGCGTTAGAACTACTCGTCACTAGATAGCGCTGCACTAGGGCGGTATTGTTTGCTCATTTCTTTTCACTTACATTCGTAAATATTGTGATCGGAAAACTGTCGAACAGCGCTTTACAAACTTCTCTTGTTGCATATTTATTAACAGAAAAAGTCTTGCTTTTATCTAATAATGCTACATTTTCGTCGTTTTGTCCATAAAGGATCAAAGTATGCAGGCCTTTTTCCTGTGAAGTTTTTCAACAAAAAGCACAAAATTCCCGCCCATCTTTATGCGGCCGACGACCAGTTGGTGGAGCAAATAAACAATGCTATTGAGCCCTTTATAAAGCAAACAAAATGTGACACCGCTGTTGAAATAAATCCTGGAATAGGTTTATTTACACGCAAATTAATAAACCGTGAAGATCAAATACGTAAAATTGTTTTAATCGAAACTTTGGATCACTTCATGTCAGGGCTCAGAGACTTGCATAATTTGTATCCAGAACGCGTAAAGGTAAAGCATGGTGATGTTCTGGGCCTATGGAAATTGATGTTTCAGGATAATATGGACGGAGGTACACGCGTTGCTGATATGTTAAGTGACTTGCCAAGTCGTGAATTTAATGAAGGTGACTGCATTTAGTTTTCTTTGTTATACATAGCAGCAAATATAATTGGCATTGTCTACACACACGCGCCACGGTAACTTACCGTAGATCCACGGTAAAAACTACCGTAGATTATGTGTTGCCGGAGAATTGGGGCAGAACTTCTTTATGTGTAGGCGGCCTTCGGCCGAGCTTATGAATTATAACCCTTACTACTAAGAATTCTCCTTTCTGTCTTGCCGGAGAAGTGGGACAGAACTTCTTTCTGCGTAGGCGGGCTTTGGCCGCGCTTGGGGATTATTACCCTTACTACTCACAATTCTCCTTTCTGCGTTGCCGTAGAAGTGGGACAGAACTTCTTTCTGCGTAGGCGGCCTTCGGCCGCGCTAAAGGATTGCAACCCTTACTACTCCGAATTCTCCTTTCTGTGGAGAAGTTGGACAGAACTTCTTTCTGCGTAGGCGGCCTTCGGCCGCGCTTAGGGATTGTGAACGTTACTACTCACAATTCTCCTATCTGTGTTGCCGGAGAAGTGGGACAGTACTTTTTTCTGCGTAGGCGGCCTTCGGCCGTGCTTAGGTATTATAACCCTTACTGCTCTCAATTCTCCTTTCTGTGTTGCCGGAGATATGGAGTAGAATTTCTTTCGGCGTAATTTTTGCCGTGGATCTACGGTAATTTTTACCGTGGATCTATGGTAATTTTACCGTGCAACTACGGTAATTTTATTGCGGTAAAAGTTACCGTGACGCGTATAAGCAGACACTCCCAATATTATTTTATATTTATAAATTTCAGAACCGATTGCGCTCCTGTTTGGCGCTGTTGGCTGTTATAACTTTTTCAAGCACCTCATAAACTCGATAGTCTTTCAAAATGGTTTGCTTAGTTGGGGGCGTTTCGAAATGTACCTAGCTGTGCCGCCACCCATTTACATTGTAAGTTGTAAACAGCAGTAGTCTTAATATTTTCTAAACACATTCTTTCAGCATCTCACCTGCAGTCAGGAAATTGGTTATATGCTCTACAGATCGTCGTCAATGCTTTTCCAAATGATGTTCGAGTACCGCTTCATTGCACGGCTGCCGCGAGAGCAATTCCTACCTAACCAAAGGAAAACTTCTGCAACAAAAGGTAGCAAGTTGTATAAGGTAATTGTGTTCAGATTCTAAAGCAGAGCTTAAAATCTTACATAAGCAATCTCATGTAGGTGGAATCAATTAACCCCGAATATTTGTACTTGGTTAGAATAGTGCCGCGCCGTAATTTTTATGATCTCTGCCCGATAAATGATTTGCAAGCACTGTGGTACTTTGTTAAACAGAACTGCATTAGTCGGCGAAATCGCATCATACCCAACTTAGAGTAAGTTTTTCGAATTAAATTCTTCAAAATAGCATCATAACAATGGCATGTGTGTTTTAGAAAATGGGTACCGGGTTGCGGACCACGTCTCATCATAAACAGCACTTCGTCTGAATCTCTGCACCCGCTTTATCCAGATGAAAATATTTCAGATTTACCGCATTATTCAACTCGCTGCACAACTATGAGCAATAAGGATTTTTTTCCACGCATGAATATTTTTACACAATTCGGCGATCTCTCGCCCAGTCAAATGCTTACATTATTCACACAATTTCGGCACTGGCCTGAATATAGTGAAAGTTCATTCCTTGCTTCGCTTGAAAATACTTTGATTAAAATGGAAGCGTCTGCCGACGAAAGCGGCATTGGCATCACTGAAGAAGATGATGTGCCAAGTGAAACTGCTTTGGGAGAGTTAAACGAATTTGAAAATGAACCCACAAAGCGTAATCGTAAATCTGCAAAAAGTAATTAACAGCTTTAAAGCGGTACACAAAATGTATATTTTTGTATTTAACATAGTTTATGTACATTTTAAGTTAGTTCTTAAATAAGCGAAATAAAGTGTCCTTTAAATACACATATGAATTATTAGAAAAATGTTTATAGCTCCCAAATTCGGATGGAAAATTGCTGGCGTAAGCTGGAAGCTACCTATTACCATTCCGTTTTCAATTGGCGTTTGGGGTGCAAGTGCCTTCAATCGAACGTTTAGTACCCCTCGCACACATCTCAATTTTACTGAGATCATATAGCGGTTCATCACCATCTTCTAACTCTACACGCGTTTTAACAGCAACAGACAACTTAACGCAATCCACCATAAGCGTCTTCGTATTCACTCCAAGCACATATGATAAATGCGCGTTCTTACATGGTGCGGCACGTCCAATCTCATAGCAGATTTGATGAATCTTCACTTGACCATCGACTTTACATTCATTTTTTATGCATTGCGGTATGGTTGCACCGGGCGCCAATACAAGCATATACTCATCTTCGCAGGGACCACGCCGGAACGCTGGATGGCAAGCGTCCGAGTCGGGATAGTAAAGTGAAGCTAGGAAAAATATGTACATATGTTGATAGAATTTGCATGCATGGTTGCGTGAAAAAATAGTACACATACCTGGCGCACAATCACAAATCCAATCGTCTGCATGATCTCCTGGATAGAGTAACTCATTTTGTTTACAACGAGATGGTGAGTAGAGCGGGATACGTCCCTATTATAAGTAAGAGAAAATGACAATTTAATATTACGATATGCAATCATTTGAATCTCTGTGCGTAAATAGATTTGTATGGCCTTTTTTTTTAAATAAGCACATTCCACATACATGAATACATATAGAAAGGCCGTATCTAACATTTTCATTAGAAACTTTGTAAAGACTCATAGTGAAATAATATATTATATATCTTCTGGTTTTTAATAAACATTGAAACTATGTATAATATTGATGCAGTAGTGGTTTTCAAATACCATTACGGTCTTGGGTTGTGAATCATGAGTTTTCGTACAAATCAAAATTTAGAAAGAAAATGAGCTAAGGCCTTTCTGGATTAAGATAACGATATGTAGTACACATGTACATAATTGAAGCGATTATGTTTATTTTCAATATGTGGTATTGATACACTTTCAAGCGATATTTGTAATCGCATTGTTATCAGTTGAACGGTGTTTCCCATCTTAGCAAAAAAGTCACATTAAGCGATAATCATTTTAATCTTTATAAAATATTATGGAAAAAATATAAAATATGGGCGAATCCAAGAAATAGTCAACCAAAATCGCAAAAAATTCATGCAATTCAAATTCTCTCATTTTTGTGTCAAAAATGGCTTATTCTTATTTCATATATCT